GGAGTCAAAGAGGACATTGGTAGAAGATTCAAGTGTTTTTCTATGGATGTATTACCATTTACAACCTAGTGGCATTTCGATTAATTCTCTAACATTAACAGTTATCAGAATTCCATATCTCTTTTATTCTTTCTTCCTTCCTTTATTTTTTGGGGGGATGGGATAAGGAGGAAGCACTGGACGGTCGCAATATAAAGTGAAAAAGCTGTCGGACAAGCCACGATATGGGAGCATTTTTTGCCAACGCATGATGTTGTTCTTACCCGTAGAAACGTGTGTAGTCGACGCCCTGTTCCCCGGCGGCTTTGAGGTCGCGTTCCAAGTCGTCTTTACGAGTGACCCATTCTCGCATCTTGCTCACCCAGCCGCCGAAGGTTCTGTAAAAGCGAAAAAAGGAAGAGTTGGAGTAATGATGTATGGAAATACATTACCAAGTACACGTTTTCTTAAGCGTCTAACGAGGGAAAAAATAGTCTTTTATTTTCCTATCAGTACCGCTGGTGTTGCTGCTCTGGCAGGATATAACATGAGGATTGCGTTTCCCTTATCGACTCTTCCGTGATTTTCATGATGGTTTTACGAATCAGTTTTTAACAGATAATTGGTAGGGTTTTGGCTCTATCCCGCCTATCTCATTCTCTCTCTCTATCTATCTATCTACCTATCTCTTTCCCTTTCTCCTTCTCTCTGTTGCTGCTGCTATTATTACCGACACTAGTATGCTCTGCCTAATTACAGTCAGCAACGACAGACAACGATAAGGGCGAAGATAACGATCCCAATCAAACTATAATCGACGGTGGTGACAACACCAATGATGCGCTTACAACCCTTCCCTCACCTCCCACAGGAGCCACCCTCACCTGGCTGCCGGTAAGGCGTGGGCGGACCTCAATGTAGACGTTGGGGTCAGTGGGCTTGGGCGGCTCGAGCTGATGGGCGGCCGGGATGTAGAAGCACATCTGGTACCTGTTGGCGTCGCCGTCAAGGGGCTCCTCCATCATGGTGACGGGGGCGGTCATGTTGATGGTTTGGCCTTTGGGAAGGAGGGGGGTGAGGGAGGACAGGCAGGGGGGTAAAAAGAAGGGGAATGATATACCATGCGTGTGTGTGGCACCGGGAGGGAAACTGTAAGTCTGACAGATATGTAGAAACGCATATAACATATGTGAAATTGCATACGCATATATGTGTATCTTACAAGCCAGCACCCGCACACACACACACACACAACAAAAACAAACAAGCAAAAAACGTACAGCTAAAGTGCAAATGAAAATTAATGGTTCCACATAACAGGATTTCAAACTTACATTTCAACAAAACATGATCATCATGTAGTCCTGGAGCCATGCCAAAGCAAGAATTTTACATTCACTGTGGAGTTATAAACCCCACACACCATTTTCTGATGTGAATGGTGAATTATGATGAAACCAGTCATGCCATGACAAACTATTTTCGTCAGTGGACGAAATTACTTACGAAATCTTTGGTGACATTTACGTCAGAGCAAAATCTTACTGAATCGTTCATTGCAGCGAATAATGAATTATACTGAAGCACACACGAAGCACCATTGCAGCCTTACCATTCATCTTCTTTTATACCATGTTCTACGGCGAAGAAATGTCACACTGAAGCAGACGCACAGCCTTACCTGTTTTCACTCACTTTCCTTCTCGCCTCAACAATGAACAGTGAATCATAACGAAGCACCAAAGCAACCTTAACCATCAGCATTCACTTTTCTTCACGCCAGCCTCTACAAGGACCAACGGATCCTAACGAAACCCCGTCACAGCCTCACCCTTCTCGTTCTCGCCTGTGATGTAGCCGAAGAGCTTCATGAAGCTGGTGTACATCTTGGGCCGCTTTCGCATCTCGTCGTGGCACGCCCACTTGGCCGACTCGTACACCCTCAGCTCGTACGACTGGGCGGGAGAAGGAGGCTTTAGTGGGCGTGGCTTAGAGTTTCCGGTGGATAGTGGAGGTGGGCGTTAGGTTTTACATAAAGGTCTTCTCTTCATCCGTGTACTTTCTCTCTCTCTCTCTCTCTCTCTCTCTCTCTCTCTCTCTCTCTCTCTCTCTCTCTCTCTCTCTCTCTCTCTCTCTCTCTCTCTCTCTCTCTCTCTCTCTCTCTCTCCTTTTTATCTCTCTCTCTCTCTCTTTATCTCACTCTCTCTCTCTCTCTCTCTCTCTCTCTCTCTCTCTCTTACTCTGTTTCTCACCTTATCTACGATCATACAAGTAAATAAAATTCTCACCCCAGCATCTTTAATAACAGTATACGGTGCAATCTCCTCCGGTTCTGCGTCGTCCAGATCCTGAGATAAAAAAGTAACATTAAATTATCTTCATGAGGATTAATACTAACTTCACATATCCTCATTCTCCTCATTATTTATTCTTACTTGCATTGACGCATATTCCACGCTAATGGAAAGATTTAAAGAAAATTTAAGAAAGGAAATAAAACTCACGGAACGGCTAGAGTGAC